CACTAATAAATAACAAGAGAAAATAAAACAAAAATATTGTTTTTCCATCGGTAAGGTCAGCTTAGGGCTTAGGACATTTTATTCGACTTTGATTTCATTTAACTTAAATAAAATAACTTACAAATAGACATCAAATTCGATGTCTGTGCTTGAAAAGGACAAAAGAGATGTTTGATAAAATAAATCGTTAACAAAAAATTTATATTAATGTTTTCCATAAATTACTTAAGTTGTTTGTTAAACAAGTATTTTCCATTTGCTTAGATAACAAATTATTTCAATTTTAAAGTTCTTTGTGGTCCAAAAATGCTACTGCAAATGTAAACAACAAACCCAGTTGCATATTTAAATAATCTAACATGTAATGCATATTCATCTGCATACATGCGCTCATGACGTAAATTTTTAGGGGGGGGGGGGGGGGGGGATGGACTCGTGCGCATACATGCATGCATGCGTGCCAACATAAATATATATACAGTACTTCTCACTGCTACTGTGAGACGCATTTAAATGAAAAACTTAAATAAATTGTTAAAGTTTTCTTACATTATGTTACGTATATAAACAGAAACGTATGTTTATATGCATATATTTATGTACAAGAACGAACTTAAATGCAAGAACATTTATATGGGTATACGATTCTATATTTTATCTACATCAACTGCGTAATTGTTGTTTGTTTCTCTTAAACAAAAAACTATAATAAAGCAATTTTTCTTATTCTCTTCTCCTTGTTGTTATTGTTGACGTTGTTGGGTTAAAAGCAAAACGAAAATGTATTTAATGTTCTTCGGTGCGGTGTGCGTTTTTTTTTTTTTTTCTTGTAAATAAGTGCATGAAAGTTTATATAGAGGATGACGAGCATGTATAGCATACAATAGCTTACAATAGAGCTTATTAAAGTAATAGAGGCTGGTGCTGTATACCATTTATGGTATCCTAAACAACAATGAATAGTTTGTTTAGGTTATTTACTCGGTAAAATCAAGTAAAACTGTTCGCTACAATAACGAAAGAGGTTTACATCAAAGAATGGTTTTCTCAAATGCTTTTAATAGTTAAGCAGAAAATAATCAGGTGTTAGTTAATAGTTGGAGGCGTGGAGTACACAAAAGAATTTAATCGTTTATCAACGAAAAAAACCAACAAAGTTACATTTGCTTATGTTGTCCTTCTCGGGTGTAACGATTAACAACGGAAGAAGCAGAAAAAAACTTATGTTTAATGTTTTCATTTTATATATATATATATATATATGTATATGTATATGGCGGTCATTGATAGTTTGAGCCAAACTAGCATACATTAATACTCGCAGCGAAAGAGTAGCGTACTGAAAGACCCACACGTTCTGCATTTAATGTTAAAAAAAAAGCAAGAGTTTGTTTACTCCATTTACTTGGAAAAATCAAGTAAAATTGCCCTCACCTCTGTTTGTTCAGTATTAGTAAACAATAATAGCCTTTGTCAAGACGCCGTTTCATATGAAAACAGTGCAATTACAACAATTAATATTTAATTAATACAAGTAACACAAAAATACGAGTTTACCTAAAAGAAGGAATCCCTTACATATCTTGTCCGTAAAGGTTAGAAATAGTCTTTGGTAAGTTAAGAGGCATCATAACTGAAAGTTTTTCAGATATGAAGTGTTTTTGTATTGCTTTAGTAGAAGCTTTGGATCTTTTCTTATATGCGAAGAAAAATTAGACATTTAGGCCCTTTTTTTTTCTTGAAATTTCATGCCTTCCTCCGAAGCGTTCAGAAACGTTGGGTGTAGAGAGTAAAAATGAAGAAACAACAAAAACCAAATTCAAATCAAAAGCATGAGCACTACTAGCATGGCGGCCAATCCGCAGCCAGTGCAGATCTATGCTAAGAGTGAACCATTAAACCGATGCAAAAATACAAAAGCTTGGCATGCAAAAATGGTGAACACAATTAGTTTAATCACGAATCATACGAAGCTTTGACGATTTAAAGTTTAGTTAGATCCACCGTAAGCAAGAGGGATAGCATTTAAAGAATCCGATATTGACATACAGTTATAGATATCATGTCGACTTCTGCAGACAGAAAAGCTCATAGGTATATCTACATTGACCAAGTCTTAGGGAAACAAAATTTGTGGAAGTACAGTTAGGAACATTGGACCTAATCTCTCTCAAAAACGTAACATAGCGTTTTCTTTTAATTTTTTTGATATAAGTACTTTAATGTACGTTCGTCTTATAACTTTTTTCTAATGTTATTATTCCACTTAGTTTTGTCCTTCGGTCAAAAAAAAAAAAAAGAAAAAACGTCGAACAACACTTTATTTTTGGCTTTTGCGGTGGTCTTACCATTTAATAATCACGATAGTGTCCTAAATGGATATAAGGGGCGATTGCTTGGGCGAAAAGCTTGTTTCGCCCAATTACTCGGAAAAATCAAGCAAGCCTGCTGGTTAGCCTTTGATTTAGTATACACTTTAGCGTATAAGTACATAATATAGGCAGACAGAGATAGGTAGATGAACGTCAGGTAAAAGGTATAATAATAATTTAAACAGAAAACAACTCTTCACTCAACTCAACAAGTTGTTGAATTGCTGACATGCAGAAGGAGAAGGATATAACTCTACAGGAGTGACTAGTGAAAAAAGTCTGCTAAAAGCTCTTTATTCCGCACATTATCTCGAGAAGCTAAGTTTATTAATGTTCTTAGCCGTTTATTCTGAATTTTAAAATTTTAAAATTACGTTTTATTATTGTGAATGAAGGACTGTTTGTGAAAGTGGCATAAATACATCAAAAAGATAGAAAAGAAAGCCTTTGATTTGAATATTTTATATGAAGCATACCTTCTCTTAGAAGCTTTTAAACTCTAATCAATGAAAAATGTCTTATGAATTCGCTAAGACGGATTTGTGTATTTCTATATATTTCTATAACGACTGCGCCACGGCTCTTTTTTAAAGTCTTAGATACTCTTAAAGTATAGATTCTCTTGTGAATCACATTTGCGCAGAGCAGTACTATGTTACAGTTATATACGTAAACGAACATTACATTTTGCATAAAATTGTAGAAGTACGAAGAATTTGCTTATGACACCTACTTGAAAAAGTTACTTAATACTCTCACTGGCTTGTCTGGCTAGAAAAACGGCTACAAATATGTAGTTGTTATTTTCGGAAATACTAGAAAACTATCTTAGAGTCTTAGTCGTGAATATTAAAGTTTTACATGAAAGGCGAATGGTCGTGAATAACTTTAGAACTTAAACATGGATTAAATTTTTCTTGCTTCAAAACTTGAATATTGCGCAAAAAATCCTTATTCCGCACATACTGAGAGCGACCCGAATATTCTACGAAAAATTTGGTTTTAATTTGTATTTGAATATAGTTAGTTGGTGATTACAATAAAGCCGGTATATTTGAAAACAGTACAAGTCTAAGACAGAAATTAGAAATATTTTTAAATGAAATGTTAAAATTTAGTTTGAAAGACAAATTCTCGCTCGAATACTTGCGTAAGTAACTCGAAAGTCTTTATATGGCAAAATGGTATAAATATGAAATTTTTAAAAATAATTTCAGATCGGTTGCCGACTCTTAGTTGGAAAAGGGTATCAAAACAATCATATGCGGCACTGACTTTAAAAAGCGACGCAAAATTTTCTTTTAAACTTGACTTTGCTATAATCAGAACAACTAAGAGAACATTCTTATACATATGAAAGATGGTGCAAAATCTTACCGATTCCTATGATATTTCTTTTCTCAAATCAGATTTTAAAGCTGTACTTAGAGGTTAAGTTCGGCGGAATATTTCATTTGATTCATAGTCGAAAATCATCTGCTGTTGATTTGCTGAGTTGAGTTGGGAGTTGTTCGAATAAGTAAGAAAATCATATTTGGGCGTGACTGAGTCTTTTCTACTAATCACCGTTATCCTGAAAAAAGAAACCTCAAATAAGGCAAAGAACTAAGTTTTCATTCTTTATAATAATTGTCAGGCGCGGCTGAATTCTTCTATTTTCAGAATAAAAGTGCAAATTTATAGGGTGTTTGTGTTGCGCTTTATGAGTAACAAACAACAAACACGAAAAGCAAGCCACACGAAAAGGTGCTCTCAAGCTATTGTTGCAAATTCCTTTGCTAGTTTTCAGACGATGTTTTCATTTTTGCGAATCCGAGAATGTTTACCCAAGACGAACAGACGGACATGCTTAGGTGCAATCCGAATTTGGAACGGTCCTATTAATTTGTATAAGTTATGGGGTTTTTGGAACTTGCTTATCCGCGGTACAAAGATATTGAGAAAAAAATTAAATTTTTATACTACACTATAATGTTGAATGGGTGTAATCAATTTTCCCCCTTTTGTCCCTACGCTAACTACAGTATCGGACGTAGGACATGCGTTCCAATTTTTGTGTATGAGTAATGAGCAAAAACCCAATTTTTTATTCCTCCTGAAAAACAGCCGCGTTCTCAATGTACGTAGTACTATAGGCGTGTCCTTCGACCGATTTTCAATGTCAACCTACGTACAAGATCTTTAAAAGTTGCTGCGAAATGTGAAGTCGATAGCTTAATTTTTGCGGACTCGCGAATGTTTTTAGCAGACATTACTGGACGGACATGCTTAGATCGACTCTGAATATCATACTAATCAAGAATACATGTACTTTGTAGCATGCTGGAAGGTTTCTGCAGTGGATATACCCCTGATCCTTCGAAGGTGGGTACACACTACTAAGCCAAATTTGTATTAGACTTTCTACTCTCCTATCTCTCTCTCTCTCTCTCTCTCTTTCTCTCTCTCTCTCTACGAGTTTTTACATAAAAACCGTTAGATAGAAATGGTATAACTTGAAAACATTAATTAAAAAGAGTTTTTATTTTACATGTCTAAGTTTTATATGGGCAAGCGGGCCAGGTTAAATACAAATTGTTAAAATAAAATGTGGTCCATAACTTTCACATATTTTTCTTCTTCTTTCAGGAACTTCAACTGTAGCTGTAGCTGTGTAGTAAGAACAAATCTAAGTCTAACTAAGGATATCGTAAATGAACCTGCTGAGCTGTAACAAGAATATCAGTTATGCTGCATAATAAAGCGCCTTAGTTAGAGTGTGTGTATGTGTTGGTGTGTGTACGTGTGAAGCAGAAAACAAAAAGTGTTGATTAACAGTGTTGAGAAACATTAGACAAAAACATCTTTTTTTTTAGATTGAAAAAATTCTTTTCAATTCCAGTGAATCCACGCACTGAACAATTTTTTTTTTGTTTTTTTTTTTTTTTGTTTGCTTGTTAAATATCTACTCACACTTACGCGGATAACGGTTGTGCTTCGTATGTGCAATAAAACTTTGAAATTTTGTATACATACATGCAAACATATTGTACGCGCGAAAAAAACGTGAAAAGTGCAACGTTGCTGAATTATTGCGTGTTGCTGCGTTGTTCGTGTGTGAATTGTTACCGTACCATACCATACCATGCATATCTAATGTACGCACAAATGATTTGTGACACTGCCGGCAATGTCAACAGTTAAACGCAATTGCTTTTAAAGAGCGCACGCATATAATACACATCTTCAGTTAAAGTGTCGTCATATGATCGTCATCTCTAGAAAATCAACTTCAACGAAAACCCCTTTTTTCTGATTTTTTTCGTTTTTCGTTTTTTTTTTTTTTTTTTTTTTTTGAAATAAAAACATCACGTTTTCACGCCATACTCGCCGTAAAGGAAGCCGTGAACGTTTTCATTTAGAAGAATAACGAAGCGTATAATAATAATAACAACAACAACCGTAAATTTTATATATGTAAAGGGCTGTTATGCAGCAAATGTTGCAAATGGGATTTGGGTGTTAATTTATGCATAAACTCTACCATATCGTTTACAGTGTGTTCAGTGAACTGGGTAAGGTGGGCATATTGCCGCTCAATTGCTTTTGACAGACGAGTTGTGAAGTCAAGTGGCATTGCGCTGTTCATCGTGCCATAGTGACAAAGTGAAGCAGTTTATTGTTGTTAACCTCACTCACATATACTAATAACTTGAGTAAGTGCGTTATAAGCCGTAAGCAGAGCAGTATACAGTGCATCTGTTTGTGATTCGTCATTGTTATTTTTTTGCCAGTGACGTCATTGACGTCACGTAATCCAGTTTAATTTGTATTTGTTTCTTCATTTGTGCTGTGGTTTGGCGCAGTTTTGCTTGCGTTCGTTGCATTCCTTCTTGGTTTTAGTACAACATTTTATGATGGCTGTTACCGCATTGAGCTCAGGCTCTTCTAACATTTTATTAAGTTCATATTTTACTGATGTGTCTACAACAGCAACGGCAACAGCAACAACAGCAGCAGCAACAATATCTCCCGCTTTCCCTTCCCGCTCATTAACGTGTTTTAGTTATCATATTGTTCGTGCGCTATTCACCGTTCTTGTGCTAGTGCAGCATATGTTTACCGTATCTGGCATAACGGATCGTTTAATTGTGCAAACGACAAGTGGTCCCGTGCGTGGTCGTGCTGTTACAGTACAGGGCCGCGAAGTGCATGTCTTTACTGGCATACCATACGCTAAGCCGCCTGTGGACGATTTACGTTTTCGTAAGCCAGTCCCAGCTGAACCCTGGCATGGCGTTTTAGATGCCACTAAATTGCCGGCAACATGTGTACAGGAGCGGTAAGTATCGTTTGGTTTTTAAGTAGAAAAAAAAAAAGAGAAAAATATCTTGATAGGCATTCGCTAGAAGTTTCATTTTTTCTTTTTTTTTTATTAAAACTTCTTAACGTTTTCTTCTTATAATTTGTGTTTGTTGTGGCGTATTGTTGTAGTGGTGGTAACGCCGCAGCTAGACTACGCTATAACCTAGTTTCAGTGAGATGTTGTTGTTACAAACAATGAAAATTTATGCAATGCATGCATAAATATATTGTGACGTCAAGCAATTATGACGTCATTGCGCGTGTATAGAAATTTTTTTTTAGGTCACGTGTTATGAATGAATGAATAAATTCAAATTGGCTGAAAAATTGTTTATCTTTTTAATTTAGTAAATAATTCCCTTAGATGGTTGTTGGAAGGAGAGTCTTTCGAAAGAGTACCTAACCAAAGCGCTACGTAAGCAATTTGCTTAGAGACTTATGATAAAAATTATTATTATATAGTTGAAAGGCAAAGTTGCTTTTTGGGAATACTTCGCGCAGCAGGAATTTTCATAATCTGTTGATTATATAAAAAATAAAAAAATTGTTTTCTTATTATAAAGAAATGTCTAATGAGAATCTATGGATTTTCTAAAGGACGGCGTTATCCTTATTACTACCCAGCAGGGGTTATTCTGTCAAAGAGTAGTAGCATAGTGTTCGAGGACTTTGAATAGGTCAACTTCTATTTCGAAACAACCGGCTTTTGCGCGTGGTCTCACAAATGTATTGTAAAGAGTGAATGCGATGCCCTAGGTCGGCAGGATTCACGTTCCTGCTGCGTATCGTGAGTGCCAACTGAATGAAGGCGAAAAAAATGGTTTGTTTGATAATGTTTTGGAAAATAAATGGGGTTACACTTAATTAGATCACATTTGGCTACGGTTATGAGATTAGTATGTGATTGATTTTAGGGTTCTAAAGGGCTTTGAAATCCTCGCTTATAGGAGTTTTTTGCGTAATACGAGATTACAAAAATTTTTCTAAATTTACTCTCTTCGATTGAAGTCCATACCACCACCATCACCATTTATCAGTGACATTAAAGTCGTTTTAGTGTCACATATGTGTTATAAGGGATTGTTTTGCTTACCAAAACCCCCAACTCCTAAACAACGGCAAACCCTGTTTAGAAAATAAGCATTCACTGGAACATAAAACTTAAAAACAAAGCGACTATCGTGCCCATCTACGCTGCGGCCAACTAATCATTGTTTTCTTTGTTCCCAGTGGCGGGACAGACTGCAACTACCACAGATAAAGGCCTTAACATAATCATTCCACGATAGATTAACAACGACTTAAACATCAAACTTAGTTTTTATGATTCTGATTAAAAGTCAAAGATGAAATCTTTTAACACTTTCTCGTACAATATCGAAGAAAGAAACGAAATGCGGATGAGGAATCATAGGCGGATAACAATAAATTCTAATCTTTGTCGAATATATTTTGCAAATAATCACATTAACGAGGAAATTGCAACAACTTATGGGTCATTCGCGAAATATTTATTTGGAAAAATTGCAATTTGCTTCACTTATCCAAATCCTTCCTATATATTTTTAGAAATTTCGCAAAGTGAGCCCTCGAAATGCGATCCGAAATAAAGAATGGAGTAAAAGATAGATAATCGAAGTATGTCCACTTTTTAAACCCTTTGTAAATTTTTATGTCAGTTTTGTAAAACGAAAAGCTTTTCAAAAATTTATTTTTTTTTCCTTTTTAACGCAACAGAATATGTGATTTATCCCAAAGAGATTCGTTGACGAAATATGCCCAAAACAAAAACACCAAATTTAAGCTGAATTTCCTTGCGGGTATAACATTGCAACTTCGTTCAAGTAAAGTAACTATCGCGATATACACGCATGGCGGAATTACTTGGGGGACCTATGCGGCCCTGTATTGGTTTATAATCCACGTTATGACGTAATTTGTCTACTGCATGCTCAGCCATACGAGATTGATATTCCGGCTGCGGTTGTGGTTCCCAATAAAATTCTGTTTTTCGCCGTCGCGGATATAATTCCAAGTTATTTACTGATCCTGGGAACTAAAAAAAAAGCAAGAAAAAAAAAAAAACCAATCACATGAATCAAATTAATTCACGTAACGTAATTTGAATTTGTGAATAAATTACCTTCGAAGGAAACATGTTTTACAATTTTTTTTTTATTATATAAATGTTGAAGAAAAAAATTTAAAATTTTTCAAAGTAAATTTTAAATGCGAATTTTTTTTTTTGTCGTTTTCTTCCGAATATATGTTGAAACATGTTGGTTTTTCTCTATCAAATCTTTCAAGGCCAACTAAACTTATTTTCTTTAAAAAGAAGTCAGCTATGAACAAACACGAGTGGATTTATACTACATAAGCAACTTACTGTCTCTCACACACTATCCATTGCGTATATATTTGTGACTCAATTAGAGCTATTGTTCTATGCAACAATTAGATGATGCTGCTGTTCACTACTTATATCGAGATGTAAACCTGTGTTGATTGTGTTAAGATTCATAAGGTTTTGATACAATTATTTCCGTTCAAAGACAAGTTTAACTGTCGAAATTTTTGCGACCCTCTTCCTGAAAGAGTATGAATAGACCAAAAAAAAAGAAAAGAAAAACATCAATAAGGAAGTGTCCTTCTCAGTACCCCAGCTTATGCTTAACTAGAAGTAAAACTCACAAGAGCAGATTTATCTACTGGCAACCGAAAAACCTTCTAGCTGAAGCCACGGCGGTTGCTCTTGCGCCTATCACTGAAGGCAAAATGCTGCAGTTGGTGCAATTTGAGAAACCCGTTTATTAACTGTTCGTCCTAAAGCGCGATGAAGCTCGATCGCAGTTCGCCTGAGGGTTTGGCACATTATGGGTCTGAGTGCTGTCAATACCATAAACAAAATGGGAACAAATATTAGGCAAAAACGTTTACGATTTGCGAAACCGTTTCAACCCATGCTTATCTGAACAGAGTTTCTGTCGTCATGAGAAAACGCCCGTTCCGCACGGATGTCATGTTCTGCCGAGAAGACGCAGAATCTGTGAATAGAACATTTTTCTACTTCTTTTGAAATAGACGCCTTCTTCCACAAAAAACCCGATAATTGTTTGTTTATAAGTTATTATTATTATTATTATTATTATAAATTTAGCCAGAGAATAAATTCTAAGACTAAAGTCTTAAAGCACTAGCATCTAGGGCTATCGGCTTTTTATTAAAAATTCTACCGCACTTGAGGTTTGAACCCACGACTATTGAGTTACTAGTCGAGACTCTTGCCTACTCAGCCACTCAGGCGGATGTGTTTATAAGTTAATAAAGGGATCGAGAATCCGCATCGATTTCGGGATTTCAGCACTCCCCAGGAGGCAAAGGCAATCCTGGAGGCAATTAAAGCTGCCAATATAACTCTATTGTTTTAAATTATTTTAAAAAAAATTGTCTTTTCTAAAAGAACAATGTATTGCCCGTTCACTTAGCTCAGTTAACCATCTGTTGTTGATTTGCTGCTAAAAGAAGAGGAAGTATATTTCATAGAGAATAAAAATTTTCCTAGATTGTAGATAGTTTTTGGACATATAAGCCAAAAATCTATTGGCTTAGTCTATCTCTACTCAATAAACCTAAAAAAAAAAAAAAAAAACAATAAAAAATAGCTTTAATTTTAAATTCGTCTGACAAATGGAAATCCTATAGTAAACGCTTGGTTTTCTATTTGCAACTTTTTCAAATAGATATGAGTATTTTCCTGGCTTTTCCGGTGAAGAGATATGGAATCCCAACACAAATGTATCGGAGGATTGTTTATTTATAAATATCTGGGCACCAGCTAAAGCCCGCATACGCCATGGACGTGGCGCAAACGGTGGTGAGGTGAGTTCCTTCACCATCGTCGTTACATATCAGAATTCAATTTTGTTTGAAAATTATTTTATAGCATACCGCGAAAAACGATCAAGATCATATGCAACATGGCCTGATTGCGCAGAATTCCTCAAGTGGTTTACCCATATTAATTTGGATATATGGCGGCGGCTTTATGACCGGCTCAGCTACCTTGGATATCTATAATGCTGATATAATGTCGGCGGTGGGAAATGTTATAGTAGCGTCGTTCCAATATCGTGTTGGTGCATTTGGTTTTCTACATCTTTCACCGGTAATGCCAGGTTTCGAAGAAGAGGCCCCCGGCAACGTAGGCCTTTGGGATCAAGCATTGGCCATACGTTGGCTTAAGGAGAATGCCCGAGCATTTGGCGGTAATCCCGACTGGATGACTCTTTTCGGGGAGTCAGCCGGCTCGAGTTCCGTAAATGCTCAACTCATGTCGCCCGTTACCCGAGGATTAGTTAAGCGTGGAATGATGCAATCAGGGACTATGAACGCGCCGTGGAGTCATATGACTTCAGAGAAAGCTGTGGAAATTGGAAAATCGTTAATTAACGATTGCAATTGTAATGTTTCGCTATTAACGGTAAGTAAAGCCGTGACTCCTTCCTCATGCTTTTATTCTTTATCTTTTTCGATTTATTATTATTGTTGCTGTCGATGGATGGATGCTTAGGAAAATCCTCAAGCTGTCATGGCTTGCATGCGTGCCGTAGATGCTAAAACGATTTCGGTTCAACAATGGAATTCATATTCAGGCATTTTAAGCTTTCCATCGGCACCGACTATAGATGGCGCCTTTTTACCCGCTGATCCTATGACTCTACTAAAAACTGCTGATCTAAATGGCTATGATATAATGATTGGTAACGTTAAAGATGAGGGTAAGTCTCCATTTAAAAAAAAAAAAAAAAAAAAAAAAAATAAATAAATAAATAAATAAATTTCACGCTGCGTTAACTTATATGTGACGTCATTTGCAGTTTCATAACAGTAAATGAATATCTAAAAGAACCTTGAAATATTTTCATTGCTATTGTTGTTTTCACCAGATGCCCTACTTTTTTAGTCTTAACTTTTTCTATTCGCATCAGAGAATTTTCGAATTTATGAACTTTTTTTTTTTTTTTTAAATTAATTGACAATTCGAGCTGCTGTTAATGATGCTTCATCAGTAATAGTGGCATTTACGCAAAACTTATGCATATGTATGCGTTCCGTTAAGCCATTCGTTAAGTTTTAACAAATGAAAGTTTTATTTGATTCACAGTTTCGCTGTTGCACTGAAATTCTCCTGAGGTAAAGTGAAAAGTAAGCTCGTAACGTATTCTACGTAAGCATACATATGTATAATTTTTGCTGACGTTACTTACTATGATTTGTAGCTCTGCAGGCACTTTTTATAACAATCATTTCGTATTACGTATTGAATGTTTGCTCTAATACTAGTTTTGAAGGGATGTGTTGCTTTCCCTTTTACATAAGGTCCTTGGACATCATTTGACATATGCAATAGTATTGGCATCGGAAAATATATTCAAATAAAAGAAAAAGTAAAGAGTTAAGTTAGTTTCACCCACGGCAAGGATTAAATGGTGCACGATATTGTTTTTATTTTTTTAGAATAATTGACTTGAATATCAATCTTTAAGATTTCAGTAAGTTAAATAGTTGTAGAATATTTAGTAAATTTTTTTATATTATCTGTGTCTTTTCCGGCTTAGTGAACTTGTGTTTCAAAGTTTTTGAAGTAACACTCTCATAATCGGGTGAAATAAGCATCCATATCGTTGAGCCGTAGAAATGTGACGAAAGATATATAACGAAAAGTGCAACGCTTTCAAATAATACAAGTCATAAAGCATGTCTCAAAAACTTCGTTACGATATATAAGGAAACTCGGAAGCATTTCATTTTTCTTTCTAAAACGGTGAAGGCTATTAAACTGGTCGAATTCGCAGCGTTCTTGATAATCTGATCCTAATAGTAGTGGGAATATTTAATGTAAGTTGAAGGGTCTCTCCCGTAATACTTGAGAAAGAGGCGGTTTTTACTATCCTTTATCTTCTTACCTCAATCCAGTACTCTAAAGCAAAGTAAGCATTATAAAGGCTTAGAAAGTGTACGCAGTCTTTCACAGCATAGCGTAGAAATTCGACAGAACGCGTTTTAATAGAAGTGACGTCCCAGGTTAGACTTTCGTAAACAAAATAATGGAAATTCTGAGAAACATCTCGTACTACATTCTCAACGTACTAACGAATTTCTAAAAAAACAACATTTTGATAATAAAACATGTAAAACAATTGTTAATCTTAGAGATATCTAGACGAAATTCCCACAGTGCTGTTCTGCATCATAACTTAACGATTGTTATCGACATATCTATTCATAATAGAGTCTCATCTGGCGTGGATGTAAAGCAATTTAAATTTTTCCGGGTGCTGCTTGACTTTTATTAGCTAACTAGGTGCCGTCAATTTTTCAAATCTCAACGCTAGATAAGCAAATTAAGCGAGGGTAGTTCAATCGCTCCGTTAATTTACAGTGAAGAAGTTATGCTTATGAGACGATGCATCAACATTTCCAAATGCCTATAAGGCTGCGAAGTCCTTAAAGAGGATATATATTAATTTATATCATATATTAAATATATTCAATACACGAATGCTTTGGTCAGTGCTTGGTCGGTGAAAGCCTAACACTTATCAATTGGGCCCACATCCGCACCCTATTTCTTTCTCCTTCCTCTCTTCTTGCTGACAGCTTACTCTGAGTTGTTGGTCATATTAAAAAACGACATTTTTGTATATGTATAAGTCGTTTCACCAGTATATAGTTTAATGGCTAAATGTAATGTCCTTCACTCTGTCCACATTATTGTGGCTTTAAAAAACCTTCTACGCCAGTTTTCTATTTCTATCAACAATCGCTAGATAGGAGGCTCAGTAAAAATCGGGAAATATCACAATTTTTCCTTTAGAAAGATGTCAATATGTCAAGCTTCAAGTGCGGAATAGCTTACAGTAGATTTTCAATTTGGAGCAGTGACAGTTGTTTGTTATTTCTTAAAAATTTGTTTTTTTTGTCCTTCTTGTTCTTAGCTTTAATAAGTGACGTGCGTTATGAAACAACTACGAAATGCAAAAAAAAAAAAAAACAAAAGCTCCAAGTCATATATAATTTCTCTTCCCTACTTATTTAGCCTTATTATCATCTTAATTGTCATCGTGCTATTTAATTATCAGAGCTACTCAGTGGTCTAGTCACATACACGCATGCATGTTGGTCGACCTAGGTTTTTTCGAGAACAAAAAAAAAAAAAAAAAAAAAAAAAAAAAATTTGAAGTTTGTTCGCTTGTTTACGAAATTTGTATTCATTTATATAGTTTTTTGCAACTGTTGTCAGCCTTTGCAACACTCTTACCTCTTTTTATTTTTTTCTTCTTAATTTGTTTTGTTTCTATTGCCCTTAAGGTATAATATAATCACCTTGTATTTTTGTTGTTTTAGGTGCTTTATTTTATACGTATATATATATATATATATATATATAATTTTGTTTTAGACTCTTTAGTTTTCGGTGCAACCTCCATCATCGCCTTAATTACTGTCATAAGAGTTGTTGCTGTTAACATTGTAAAAAAACAGTCGTTTGGCTGACGTTAGTGGTTCATATTATTTTCACTTAGTTGACCTCACCTCTCTGCTATGCACTGACTCTTCAATTTCATTTCACTATCCATCTCTGTCTTAAAATTTGACATTATTTGTATATGTGTTTATTACGTTTATTATTTATTCTCAACTTTTTTATATCATTTAGTCAGTATTATAGATATATTTTTGAAAAAGGAACGAGAGAATATGATGATAAATTATGTATGTTCAAAAAATATTATACAATGCTGTTAAACGTTGCAGTCAGTGCTAAAAAGAATAATTAAAACTGAACTTTTTCTTTTTCGACAATTTTTACTAAACCAAACAAACCCAAAATATGCGTCGGTTTGCGTATATATAAGTGCAAGGTCTTATTTTGACATCTTTTTATGATAATTAATTACGTATTGCCTGGGCCTGGTCTGTGTTTCTGCAAAGTTCAGAGATGATTTTCATTACAAAAATACTTAAAATTTAAAAAAAAAATTCACCTGGAAATAAATCCCAGATACTTTCTCTATTGTGTGTTCTAAGTCTTCGTCTCACTTTAGGATTTGTCATTACCCCTTCTTATGTAAATAATTTAGCGCTTTAGCCCTTAATGTATTGGCAAAGCTGTGCTGTAAATTTCGTAATTTGTATTACTCGCTGTTGGCTTTTAGTAGTAAATACACGTTCACCGTATATATGTAATAAAAAGTATTTTACCTGAAGTATTGGTGACGGGTGGCTATGTATTTTTCCCATCTGTCTGACAATTTGCGGATGTCAAGCGAAGAGAAACTGTTGCTCTTTTAAGACCAACCAGTTGTCGTAAATTACCGTGATTTGGCTTAACTATAGCCAGGAAGCTGCCTGAGCATTTCCCAGTTGAGTGCTTTCTAACTAACAGTTAACTGGCTTTGCCGCATGGATAGACGGACGGTTGTCATTTAAATAAAAGACTCGACATTAGCGTGAAATTTTGCTAATTTTCTGAACAGGGAGCAGTTCAAACCGTGTAATTATCGTTACCTGTGTTCCACCAGATTTTAATAGTAGCAATTCCCCTAAATGTGGTCTTAGGGCTACGTGCATACAAATTCCGGTTTCATATTTGCATACCTGTTAGAGTGAACATTGTAGTAGTTCAACCAAGGATATTAAGGTGAATTTTGGTAGTTTGATGGCAGATAAGCGAACAAAGCGGTTGTAAAGATGCGCGCTCGTCTCGAGTCTTTTAAATTAATATCTGCACAGGGAGCTAGGTAAAGAAGAATAGCGACTACCAAGTCTGTGTTTGGCGGTTCAAATTAAAGTGCAGTTGTGTTTACCTTGTTCACGGTATAGAGAGCGCACCGTCGGCAAAGACATAACGGTTACCGATTGTGCAGACAGCCACTAGGCTACAGTGGCTTCTTTATCTCTTTCCTTTTCCTCACTTTTTTCCGGTCTTACCGTGTTACGGGAATAGGGGACATTCCCTCAGTGATAGGTCATATAATTAAAAAAAAAAATGGGAGAATTAAAAATAGCTAAAAAGAAAGTTAAAGTATTATGCCTGAGCAAAACCGAAGTTTAGATGCTTTATACCAGTTTGCCTTATACGACTTTTCACCTACTTACATCGTAGATTACTAAAAATTATATGTTGTTGCTCTATTGCTTCCGAAGAGAACAATTGTGTGAGAACAAGTAAGGAAATTAAATCTACTTGGCTCAAATTTACTTCAAAAAATTTGTTTCTCAAATTAAGTTATGACAGTGTATCAAATCTAATTTACATGTAAAGGTGGAACACATGGGCGTACATTGCACCCGCAAAGATGCTTTGAAGGCATCAAAAATGGTTCAGAGGCGATTGTTGTAGTAAAAAGTGTTTATATCTATACCTCAAGTCTTTGCTGTTGTTGCGTACGTTCGTGTAAGTTAATAAAATTTCTATAAGCGAACTGTGGTGGTCGCCAGGAAGAAGTGAGAGAAGATTAAGAGCTACGACCAAGTGTGATCGAACTATGGTTAAATGTAGGTCATAATTATGTCTATTTAAATAAATATCAGCATAAAGATATAGGTATAAGGGTTAGTGAATAAATTTCTTATTTACGCTACAAAATAGGCAACGGCTTTCGTAATATATTGCGCCTAAATTCAGGAAAGAAATTTTAGCCTACATATGTCTTTAACAATCATCAACTAAAACCGGAGCAGATGATCAAAAATATAAATCATACTAACTAACATAAATATCAAAGACATCATTACAGTAAGCAAAAGTCAGGAAACTTTGAAACGATGATAATCTGTTCGGTACATATGTGTTGAAGAAGTATAAAAGGAGCGTCGCTAAAATAGAGCAAAAATTTAAATTCATTTCAGTGTAAATTTATATATTTTTATAGTTGTATGTATTTACGTTGTATTCTTTATCTTTTCTTGCACTTCTGCTTGTAGGTACTTATTTTCTTCTATATGATTTTATTGATTACTTTGATAAGGATGAAGCGACATCATTACCACGTGATAAATATTTAGAAATCATGAATAACATATTCAACAAGGCAACTCAAGCTGAACGTGAGGCTATCATATTTCAGGTAAGATGGCGAAGAGAAAAATTAATTAAAATTTATGCAAAAATCAATTTATGCAAATGTGGATATAACTTCATTTTTAATCTGCTAGTATTAAGGACAAATGTAAACACGAATCGCGCACACGTGATAATATTGCTTGCATTCATTTCTTTTTTCCCCCTAAACCTTTGTGCGAAGATTGTTCTTTCTTTTTTGTGCAGTACAGTTGGAGTAAATTGAAAATATTAAAAACGCGCAGGATATGCAGGGGATTAAAAAAATGTTCACACGAGAAATATTTATCTGATGTTCATTTGACACTCTGTGATTGTTATATGAGTAATTTTAAACCTTTACACATATCCAGGTGTAACATGAACGGTCCGATGTATGCGAACAAAACGTAGTTTGTTGATATGTTCATAAGCGTTAGGTATGCGACGTAAGTTGTTCGAGTGAGCTAGGGTAGGTAAAAGTTTTACGTCGCGCTTTAAAGACATGTGTATTTTCTGTGATTTGCCGAGTAGACAGGTGATGAGGATGGCCAGCTTGACGAGGAGTTCGCCCATGATCAAGCTATGCTTGGGACAATAACGTGATAGATTCCCCTTTACTTAAATTCCTATCAATTACTATAAATTAATTAAATTCCGGTCGTAATTAAGTTTTAAACGATTTGTTTCACTTATGACTTTGCTTTTTCCTGTTAACATCTTCACATATTTTTGCTTACTTGTGATATCTCCACTTACAATGCCACGCTTTTATGCTTTCTTATTGCTTTCTACGAAGAACACAACCATAACCAGCGCTTGTTGCGCATAATTATTATCTTGCGAACTTCTTCCTTGTTAGGGCCTCAGATGACTTCTTACTCTTACGCTTTCGCGGGCAGACTAACTATCGAAGCTTACCTTCGTTCACTGCGACGCTTCGATAAGAAAGTATACCAACTTTGTCACTTTGTTCCCATAATCTACAAAACTTATCAACGACTCTGTGAAGTTCTTAATTACCGACAAAATTTGCCATAAATACATCTGTTAGTTCGTTGCTCTTTGCTCCGATAAAGTTGAAAAAATGAATATAAAGTACATAGAAATGCTTAGAGAACTTTTTTGATACAATGCATTTCATTAGAGTCCACCTGTTTAACTCGGTCGGAGCTGAAAGGCCCATAAGCTTGTCAAACTAGCATGGGAATCGGAGCAGTTGTTGAGTTGTAGCCGATAGTATCGTCGGACCCGCCATACGTATTTATAATATCCATAATCAGCTTTAGTAGTATCTGCTTCTCTGATGTTTTCGATCTTTCAGTCCGTCTGTCCGTTAGATTCAGAAGTGTAGCCTTACCTCGTCGGGCGGTGTATAAGCGTCAGCAAAATTGATACATGATACAGATGATCCGTATCCGTTCACGTGTAACAAGAAGTTGACAGCTTTCTACCCTGTTTTCGAATTTTAACAAATAAGTAATTTATATTTGGTCGTGACCGAATCTTTTATACCCATCGTCGTTAGCCTAAAAAGATGACATCGCTGACTTTTTCTATTTTCAGTATAAAAGTGGAAATTTATATGGTGTATGTGCCGTAGTTCAGATGTTCACAGTTTTTGTTGTTTAGACATGTGGGCGTTGTAGATGTGTCCTTTAACCGGTTTGGGTCTTTTTCAAATTGTTTTGCAGATTTTTAGGCGATATCCTCATTTTTGCGAACGGGTCTGCCAAAAGTATAACACAGTTGGGCAGACGCACAGATGGACATGTTTAGGTGCACTGCGAATTTTACTTTATGGGATTTTGAGACTTGCTTCTATGCGTTACGAAGGTCGCTGAAGCTTTATTCTGTACGTTGCAAACGTTTTCACAAATGAATGTATATCGCATCCTTTGGTAATGAGTATAAAAAGGAAATTCCTGCTCTCGCTTTCGAGCTTAAAGTTTGATCTTAAATTATTTATTAATTAAATTTTAAAAATTAAAAACTCTGCAGCGGCCGTGTAGGCAAAGGGTCGCTGTCAATGGTCCCGGATCCAAATGTGAAGTGTGTTAGGGTATCCAATGCAGGCGAGCATATAATCTGAGTTATCCGGCAACCTTCAAATTCTTGTAAGTTTATTTAGGAAATGTATAGACAACAAATAAATGTCAAAGAACTTTGGGTTTCGTAAGCGAATTATGGATCCAGCTAAAGGCAAGACAGGGGGCTAATAAGCGGAATATTATAAATATATATGCCAATTATTATATACAAAATATATTATACAAAATGAATGGATTTTGAAGAAGCTTTGAATGGATGGTGCGCGAATTTTTCAAAGCAATTTAACTGCTCGTCTTTTTTTATATACAAACGATAAAACGCAATTACAAAACATCATTTTCTTGCGATCGGTTCGTAGGTTTAGGATGTCTTAAAACGTATAGGCAAGCACCCTTGATTATTTTTTGTTCCATTCTCTGCGGAAATCACTTCATGGTGTAAAGCTGCCTGTGCAAACATTTTCGTTCAGAATTTTGGCTAGAAAACCCATCGATCGAAATGACACACATTTCGTAAATTTTGAAAAACAGAAGCTCTTCCCGTCATCTGCTGCTATAAGCAGCTTGGCATAAATTTTAGTTACACAATTTCGTAGGAATAGATTCACTGCTCGGTCGATTTCTTTAAGCTTTAACTTGATGATGACTGCGAACGTTGGATAATGGAAAGAGCGAATACATTAAAAGTTATATAGTTTTAAAATTTTTTTACATAGTTTTTATATGTTTCGTAAAAAACTAACTGCAGGTAGTATTTTTATTTCATTGAAATTTTTTCCTTTCTTTTATAATATACAATAAAAATTTTTTTATAGCTGACGTTATATTTAAATTCATCCGTGTTAATCCATATGTGGTCTCCATCATACGCACACTAGTAGACATGCATACACACACACACACATGTACATATATATATATATATATATATGCACAATACGTGTAGTTCTTTGCATACACGCTCATGCGTAGATTGGTATGTGTATATAGGCCTTATTTTTCATTCAAAGCCTTATGCGGCCATATATTTGCATTCATTTTTTTTTCAATTTATTTTTGTTTTATTCAATTTCCCGATAATGTTGAAACAAATAAAATACTGTATAAAATAAATATCATGATATATGTATAACAAATATTCCAGATTCTGACTCTCTGACGACTCACTGCACAGTTGAATTATTATTGATATCGGTTTATTGAGTTGTTTGCCAGATAGTTGTGTTGTTATGCCCATTAGTTTACTCTTTAACAGCGTCCGAAATCAAATATGAATTGCTTACGTGGCTTATATCGAACACTTTTAATTTAAAAACTGCTGTGTATCATGTTTAAAAATGCTTTCATTTTAATTAAATTATTATAAAACCCGCACGAACATTTAATTTATCAATTTGCGGAACAAACTGCATCAATTTCCACAAACTGGCCAAATTTGTAATTGATGCGGTAAGATAAAGTCGAAATTGAAGAACTCCAAGTATCCGTAGGAAACAGACGCATAACATCAGTGGAATTCTTAAACAGATCCGTATGTAAAAGGTAAAGTATCTGGTTAATGATTTTCACCCCTAATACTCACATTAGACAATACAGAGACTTGGTCGGGATAAAGAAAATATCTGTATTATTTTTCGAAATTAGTAACTCTCAAACGACAACATGTTATTTTGTCGATTTGCTGATTAAAGACTCAGGTACACAAGAAAGTATTTAAAAAAATTCTGGAATTAGTTCAGGATAAGCTAATTGACATCTTAAAGATTTCAAACGAGAGTCGGATGCACTTTTCAGGGAAAATTTGGGCATTAGAAACTGTATGTGTGCCCTATTTAATCGCAATAGGTCAAACGAACTCTATCACAAGTCGACGCCTACAAAGGCAAAATGACAAACTGAAACCCAAATTGCTGGCGCAACTATCGTATACACCAGATCGAATTGCGAATATCTGCAAATCTGCAAACGCATGAAACGGGGGATGAGAGTTGGATAACATGATGATTTCATTGCAAAAATTGCAGCGTATACTGACCCTTGCCCATATATGGCCGTTCCCATACCATAAAAACCCACCGAATTATTATGAAGGGCTGATTGTTTGAGCAAAGGAACAAGACTCTTCACTTTTCAACCGCTAAGCTTTCGAGTCTTTACAATCTACAAGGTTGATTAAGTCGCAAATGGCATATCGGATTGCCCAGATCGGAACTGCCACAAATTATATATCGGTTTGGTTAAATTGAATGAAAATGAAAACTTACATGTTGTCGAGCTGAACACGTCTGTAGCTTTACCTTGAAAAGCACACTTAATCTCCAATTTCTTTCTATACCTAACTTGTCATGTTAAGTTCTCCAGCGTTCATCAAGTTCACCTCAAAAATTTAATTGCTTAGTGCTCATTTAATTTCTTAACGTAAGATATTGTCTTTTTCAAAAAGGCATTTATTCTTTATCGAACTTTATTGATCACATAAGGTGAAGGATGTAGAGTTGATTGATTCATGATCTGTTTGATCTGTGAGTTCCCTTTCTAACACAGGTATTGAACTCCCCACAAGGAATGCAAGATTCGTCAAGAGAACTCGATGAACCCTACGCTAATAAAAGATTGTACACGACGTTGGATTAGACCAGCGATCGATACCTCAAGTGAATGAATTTTTTACTTTACCTTCACATAAAATAGTTTATGATATGAATAGATGCCGCCCAAATTCTTCTTCCCATTTTACCTTAAAGGTTATAGATAATCCTTCTATCGAACATATTACGTTTTTATTGTTTTTACGTAAATGCATTAAAAATTACACCTTGTCTTTGCTTTGAAGACCTCTACTAAGTGCGAATGAAACGTCAACAAATTAATATCAGTTTTCCATCTTATACATTTACAACTCCAAGCACTACCTAATCTTTTCAGCAAACATTTTGAGAGATGGTGGAAGAACCAAATTTCAGCCATCTATCCTATTGATTTGAAATTTAAGGAAATATACAACAACCAATAGAGGGGAGAATGATACGAGAACGGAGAAATATGAGTAAATTGCTTCAAAATTGTCTCAGTTTCATTAGAAAAGTCCCTTGATGCTTATTTTTTGAATATTAAGAACGGACTGAAAAGAGTTCCTCACCACCTCCTTTGTAGGCGAAAAATTTTAGCGAAATTTCTAGCGAGAAATAAATCATTGAAAAGTCTGTGAATTTTTATTATAATTTGCGATATTAACAAAAAACGAAAAGAAAATTTCGGTTGCATACCTTCAGGCACAAAATAAAAGCCATTGTTTCTTATTTCCTTTGCTTTATATAATAAATGGTAGACAAGCGAAATGCAAATAAAAACTTTTTATTGCTTACTTTTAGGAGTGCATTGCTTGGTTATTTTATTGTGCACTTTTGGGCTTCAATAATTTCATTTGTATTGCTTTCGGTCGGAGCATTACTTTTGAAAACTTAAGTTTTTTCTCTGCAGGGATATACAGCCCGAAGACATTGCCATAATAATTTTATTATCATTTTTATGCATCGAAAAAAAATATATATTTTCCCTTAAGCTGAATCGATGAATAGCTAAGTTTGTCGATTTGCCTCTTCAAATGATGGTATGACTACAGCTAAAGCAATTAGTAGCAGAGTAAAGTTAAGTAAACCTTGAATAAATTTCGAAAATTGCATAATAATTTTACCGGTACATTAAGAATTATTTATAGAAATGTGTACAAATCGATTTTTAATTTCGAAATTAAAATTCTTTTGTAAGAACGCGTTGTTTAATTTTTTTCTCCGACGACAACTGCAAGTTTTTCATATCTAAAACTGCAAGATGAAGACAAGTTCTTTTCTCTTTACAATTTTCATTTTTATTTGAATTGTAAAAATAAATATATTTCATCGTTTAAGCAACTGATGAGGTTCATGTGCTGGTCATAACACGATTTTTTTCTTAAAACCGGATAAAAAGATTTGGATTGAGATGAACACTATTAAACACGGGCAATACGTCGAAATGTACTTAGAGAAACGACACAAAGTTGATTTTCTTCTTCAGCATTATCTATTATAGTAATCTTCCCTTCCCTCTACGCGATCACTTACTTTTTTAAAAATCATGCTATTTATGTCGTCTTTTCGCCCTCATCGCAATCACTTCTTTATTTTTCGTATTCTTTTTCTGTCCGACTGTTCGCTTCTCCTTGATAGCCCCCCTTTCTTACTGCTCGCCGTTTTATCTGCTCTTTCGTTAGCCTCTTACAGCGCTTATATACTCATTCTCGTTTGTATATTGTTCTAATTTTCTGCCAGTCAACTTGATTTTGTGCTAGTCTTGCAAGGGTCAACATTGGGGATCTGTTCTCGTTTCGGTCCCACATGTTAGTTTTAGAGTCATATATCTATATACGGCTACAGTAGGATAAAGTAAATTCATTTAGGCTTAAATGTGGGGAAATAAATGAGATTCGTGATTATTTGACAATATCAGATTCGGAGGAATTATTCCCGAATATTTCGAAAACGAAAAAGAGGACTCCAGGCAACTGGTCTTTGGGGAAAAATCTAAAGAGACCGTCAGCCGAACCATGCAAATGCATCGCGGATAATTTGCATAGTTCAAGAGATCTATTAACACCTAGCACTAGTTGAAAGTAAATGAGAGGCAAAAATTTAACATACAACAGAGAGGCGATGAGGGGGCAATGTGCAGAGATCTCGTCCAATCTCGGAAAAACTGTGTAGGAATTGATGATATTTCTTTGCCGTCTTTAATATAGTTTGGCAGAAAACAAACATTTGCTTCGGATTGCCCCTGAGTGTGCCTCCCCAAGCCAACGGGATTACGTTCTTTACGGCATCTTTCTTTCGTATCTTCGTTCATTCCTCATCATTCGTTCATTGTTTGTTGTGCTTTTGCGCCATTGTACCTGAATTTTTTGATATCTGGGAGCAATCCCTATCTGTCCACATGTCCGCTTATGCGTTATTGTGCATAGCTCCAGTTTGCGGGTCAAATCTACATTACTTGGTTCGTTATCGTTTTCTTGAACAACGCAAGAAACGTCAACTTGGTCGTAGTATGCCTTGATCTAGAAATATATAAATGGAGTTCAGTTTCCACTTTAATAAAAAGATTTCGGCCGATATACACAACATTCTGATAAATTGGTGTTATACTGTTTTTTCTTTTTTAAAAAATCAAATAAATTATTGAAAATATAAATAATAAGTGCAATCACGTCAGTGTTAATTAAGAAGAAGTTGCACATGCAAATGTGGAAAGAAAAAAAAAAAAAAAAAAATTAATTTATAAAAATTAATGAAATGGAACACAAGGCATATGAACTTAAAAGAAAACTTATGCATCCATGCATTTTTATAACAAATTTTTGTTTTTCATTTTTTAATGCAGTATACAAGCTGGGAAGGAAATCCAGGATATCAAAATCAACAGCAAATTGGAAAAGCGGTGGGTGACCATTTTTTCACCTGTCCCACCAATGAATACGCACAAGCGTTAGCTGAACGAGGAGCTTCTGTGCATTATTATTACTTTACACATGTAAGTGTCAATATATAGCTACAGGTATATATAGGTATAAAATAAATATTGAAAATAAATATATGTTGTATGTTTAACTAACTGCTGTCGAAGACTTAACAAAATTGTTCTGTTAATGACGGCGATGTTCACATTGCGTGTGTCGTTGTAGAATGCACATTTATATGGGTGTGTGTTAAGACTATGGAAGAATTAACATTGACACTTAATTTTATCTGCTTCTGGTATATACGTACATATGTGATTGAATGTGCGTATGTGCTTACAGAAAAATCATTAAAAATTTTTGTATTATAGTTGACACTTGCAGTTGGTAGTTAAAGCGCTCTCATGAATTCCAAAAGAGCTGTCGTAGTGTCATTAAATTTTTACACAAGGCTTGCTGCAATAGTGATATGTTTTTTTACGTATGTATTTGGAAGGGGAAATATATGTATATAGTTAGATGGTTACACATTGATATAATATAAAAATATAAAATAAAAAAAAAAATAGAAAAAAAACTAAAAATTATCTTGCATTTCATTTTTTGTTTTCGTTTCTTTTTTTTTGCTTTTTTTTCTTGCAAATATTTATTCGACAATTGTTTATTCGTATGTTTTTATGTACAAAAACATATATAGAGAACACATGTGAAACATATAACAAGAAGGCTTTAAAGAGAATTTACTTTTCTTTTTTTTTTTTTCTTTTTCTAGGTTGATTTGTATTTTCTGTTTGCTTTAGGCAAATTTCATTTGGATTTCTTTTCCCTGTGATTCTTTTTCAACACTGACCCTTAACATGTCCATGTGTACATTGTATCTGTAGCTCAGTATATAAGTAATGTAAAATACTTGTTTGTTTACATGTTTGTTTGTTTGTACGTACTCTTTTTCCGACTCTCTCTCTCTCTCTTTACTTTACTTTACTACGCTGTACACAAAAGGCAAAATTTAAATTTGAACTATAGTTGTCTCTAAGTCAATGCTTATGTTATGTTATAAACACACACACACACACCACACAAACTAACATTTCTATGAAATATTCAATTTCAAAAAATTTTCATTCATTCTTGTTGCATTCAACCGTCATATGTGTACATATAATATACATAGTGTGGACTACAAAGGCGCATATATGCATACAATATGTTTATTTTCTTTTATACATACATACCCTATACATGGTTAGATATTGAGGACATCCGCTTTTGTATATCATATATGCAAGCTTGGATGTGTATGCATACATATGTCATATGTGTGTAGGTGTAAGTATTTAGTATATATTTCTTTAAAAGGTGACCGTGTGTTTTTGTTGGTCGTGTGTATTTGTCTATGGTATGGTATACCCTACCACGTATTCACGTCTACTGCACGTTGGCTGCAGTTGCCGTTTTATTGTCTACGGATTGTTTTCTCTATTAAATATTCAAGAGATTCTTTTAAGCTTGTGGTTGGTTATGCATATTTTTTTCATTGTATTTCTATTTTTTTTTCCAATATCTATTCTTGATGAAATACACCTGAAAATTACAGTGCAATCATGTATTATATTGAAGTTATGGTAACATGTGCATATTCGGTAATGGATTGCGCACGTGTGCGTGTAGCTAGGTGTTTGCGTGAAGCTAGGTGTGTGTAAGCTTCAATTGATATTAATTTACTTTGTTTCTTTTGGAAATTACAGCAGGGGGTCTCGTCTAAATATTTTTTAAGTCCTAGGAAAAGAACAAGTTAAAACTCTATAGTCGGTCGAGGTAGCCATCCATGACATCCTTACGCTACTTTGTCACATAAAAATCTTAAAATATTTTGTTATTTATTCAGCGCTCATGGGCTACGGTATAGTCCAGTAGCTAAGAAACACGACTATCAAGTCGACATACCCCCCCCGGTGTGCGGCACAACACAATTTGGTTACGATTGCTGTGTGGTCGTAGTTAAAGTGAGTGCTCACTCGGTGAATGCATAACATTTACCGATCAGGTACACACCTACCACTCCCTATCTATCTCACTTCCAACTTTCCCGTGCTCATCCCGGTAATACACGTATAGGAGGCAAAAAGAAAAGCAAACGTCACTTTTCAGAAGAATCCTTGTATGGAACAAAGGGCTCAAAACCGATGAACCCCTAACCGATATGGCCCGTTTTTACTAAAGTTAACTTTTTTCCCTTTATCAAATTGTTATTATTCTTCGAAATTGTTGCCATAAAATACCAAAAATAACATCGCGGACGAATGTAACAAAGTCAAAAAAAGACTCATATAGTTCGAGCTTAGGACAATAAGTTTAGAGATATTCTTCCGAACTAGTGTTTATCATAAAATATACAATGATCCAAAGCAAACTAACTATCTTTAAGAGAGTCCACCCGGAGAGCCAAAAAGCGTTGCAGTGAACAATAATTTGCCAATGTATCTCGAATACTGCGAATCCAAGTCGAACACAAACAAACATGGGCAGGCAGTTAGACCAGACAGATGGAGGGGCGTATGTTGCATATTCACCGCACAAACTGAATCTTTGTTGATTGGCATATAAAACTGTTACTCAGAAAATTTCATTCGTTCATCTACAGAAGGTTAAAATGCTCTGATACCATAAATGGTTCAATAGCTAGCTAATAGCAACATATAATAACTGTAATAATTTCCATACACATTCCATTCGCCTTGGATTCGTCCGACTTGTTTCTTTTATTTTCAAACATATATTCTTCCCGATAGAAGAATTAGTTTACTTTGGCTTAGTTTTCCTTATTTATGCCAACTTTTTCTAAATAACATTTCAATTTTGACTAATAGCAAGCGTACGAACTTAAATCGGTATTAAATGACTTATGGGAATAATGTTCAGCTCGTCGACGCATTTGTTTGCATTAATAATTAATTGCAAAGAAATTATAAATAATTTTTGTCTGCAATTAATATTGATTTTTATAATAAATTAATTTTTCGTACTCTACAAATTTTCATATTATTAATAATAGGCTCTAAGAGCTTTTCCACATTTGCGTACCTAGTAGTAGTAATAAATACTTTAGCTTTGGCTTTCACTGCAATATATGATAACCTTGAGCTATTTTTAGTTGGGTAAAATTTAATATACACCAGGTACAGTAGTTGGTACAGCAATTATATTAAACAGCTATGTGTGAGTGCATATAATTGAAAGATCAATGTCACACAATGAGTATGAAAATTTGTTTTTTCTTTTTTTTTTTTTTAAAAAAAAATTAAAATTTTTAATAAAATCTAAGTTGTCAATTTAGATAGAAGATATAATTACTCAGGGATATGTGTTAGACCCCTCACCACTTTACAAAAAAAAAAATGTTTTTCTTTTTGTTAATTATGCGAGCTTGTTAGCAGTTCAGTGGTACGTCTTTCTATATAATCCTCCGAAGAAACAATGTTTTTAGGGATCCTGTACCGATGAGAGAATCATTTTATTTTATAGAGTCTACATCTACTGTCCAATGTCGTTTACTGAGGTCAAGATTTCTTTTATTCCTTTCAGTCTGTTAGGTTTATTTACGGGACGCTTGCACAGCCTGACGAAAATCAAAATAAAAGCACTACTGCAAGGAAGGGAAGAAGAGCCCAAGTACCGGCGGACAAAAAGCCAGCTGTGGAGACGAGAAGATAAAAGGGTCGTAGAAAAGAAGAAGAGCCGTGGGGACGGACAGTCAGATTAATATTGTTAAACTGTCTGAGCATCTTCTACTCATCAAATTTGTCCTATTTTAAGCTTATTGGTCCCATTTTGCCACACGGGGCAGAGACAAGAATTACTGAAAGGAGAGAGAAAAGAACTTATTTGTGGGCTAAAAAAAAAGAGAAGGAAGAACGGAAGGAACAATGACGAAAAAACGGACCGTTGGTTAGGTCGACTTATCTAATCAACTGTCGTATACGCACAAAAGTTTTAGAATTTTCACGTATACTACATCGTTCGTCCTACGTTAATATATATATACATTCCTCTCACTTCTTTTCGAGGTATTATAATAAGTCGTTGCTATGAGAAATTTTGTAATCAGTTTCACGAAACTTCACAAGGGTAGCTTACAGGACCGCCCTCCTGTGCCGTTCACCACTCTGTTTGTTTACATTTGGTAGAACTTCGCTGATAAATTTCCCTTATCCTTATAATCATCATCCTGCTTCCCGGCGAGTATTAGTGAATTCTTCATGGCATTCGAAAAACACTCTTCTGCTGATTTCTGCCTTGCATAGGTGCTAGGGGAAGTATCCATTAACAAACTAAACCAATTTGACGCCAACATGGTATGTTTTTGTTCACGCAAATGTTTTTACCCCTTCAAAACACTTACCCTAACATGCTTTCTATGGGCTGTTTGAGATGAAGCACTTCTCTTCGTTCGCCCTTCCTCTCAGCTGTCTAACCAAGATACTTAATTTCATTCCCTAGAGTGTCGATCGAACATTGAAGACATAAATTTGCTTTACATAGAAGAATACCAGCAGAGATTACGTTAGCTGCACTAAACATAAATCCTCTAGATATTGAACAGACCGTTTAACTGGTACTTTTGACAACTATTTAAACGGTAAGGAAACAGTTGAGCGCGAGAATTTACCTATGAACGAAACGCGGTAAATTGTATTATAAGCTCGCAAGTGTGAATTGATTAATAAGCCCCCAGCTCATAGATGATTTTCTTTCATTTTATATTCGAGTAGAGGTGCTCACTATAAAACTGCTTTAGATTAATAACCTTCTTCTTCTTCTTCTTCTTCATTTAAAAATATTAAGATTCGTTATGCTGGCATAGGGCAGAGATATGTGTATGTGTGTGTGTGTGTGTGCGTCCTGCATGTGTGTGAGTTTTAATAAACAATTTTCTAGCCCGTTTATCACTTAATCCATTACCGAAGATTGTTTTTCTGTGCACAACTCTATGAACTGTATGAGTAAGTGGTTGAATGTGTTTTACTGTTTGCATTTGTTTGTGTACGAGAATGCGTTTGTTTGTTTGTTTGTAAACAAATGTTTAGCTATACGTCTTGGCATTGGTGTGGCTTGTGTATGTGTGTTTTGCCTTTCCTTCTAAAAAAAAGAAAAACAATTATAAACTTCGGACTAAAAGCATTCGGGAGGTTAGGCTTTGGTTGTTTGGTTAAATGTGTGTCATAGTGCTTGTAAGGCACAACAGGAAAGAATAATAAAAAAGAGTAAAACACATGGTAGAATGAACGTCAGCAACTTTGTGTGCATGCGGGTGTATGTATGCGTACGTGTGTGTGTGTTAACGTGCATTCATAAGAAAATCAAGAAGAAGAAAATTTAATGTTCATCCTCTTGTAGTTCACAGAATATGTTGTTTCTTAACATTAAATACATGACGTCAGAAAGTGTAGTCAACTTATTGTTTGTGTTGCGGTTGTTGTTGGTGTTTGTTACCGTTAAGTGTAAAGATAATACGTTGCGTTTAGAGATATGAACAGCGGAAGAAAGTGTTAGCAAGACATGGAAGTTTAAATGCAACAGGAAAAAATTATTATAAAGTACTTAAAAGTGGCAGCACCAGCACCAGCACCAGCACCAACGCCCGCACAAGCAGCATCAGCATAACATCAGCTATTATCATCTATACCAACCGCCGTCATCAGCATCATTAGTGGCGGGAGAATGTTTTAACAATAAGCAGCCCGAAGAACTTTTAAACAGAGTTTTATCACAGTACATACTTAACAACCCAAGTAGGCAATTGTGCCAATTTCAGCAATTCATCGCCTATATTAGATGCAGCAGCAGCAGCAGCAGAAGCAGCGTTAGCATAACAGCAGAGCAAAGAAGAAAAAAACTTTGCATTTTTATCTCTGCAATTTATCTCATAACCTCAATTTTTATATATTTTCCTTTCCACTTTGTGGTCCCATTCACTCTAATACTACTTTCATTGTATTGTGTTATGCTGTTGTTTTTTGTTTTGTTTTGTATAAAAAAACGAAAACAAAATAAAAGAAGTCAATTCGCTGATGAATACCTACATAAATATGAAATTTTTTAAATATTCATCTTTTCATCTTTTTTTTCTCTTCTTCTTCTTCTTGTTTTTTTTTTATTTTATTTTTTATTTTTTTGGTTTAGCGCACCAGTACTTCGTTGTGGGGCGAATGGATGGGCGTTTTGCATGGAGATGAAATTGAATATTTCTTTGGCCAACCATTGAATACGTCATTACAATATCGGCCTGTAGAGCGCGAACTAGGCAAACGTATGCTTAACTCAGTTATTGAGTTCGCTAAAACGGGGTAAGTGCCTACAACTTATATTCACTGGCTCATTCACTTGCTATATATATTTATATATGCATATATATGCATATAGTTTAAGAGAATTCTGTGTTTGTTTGTTTGTTTGTTTGTTTATTTGTCTGTTTATAATGATGAACAATATAATATCAGATACGAATATTAATAATAAAAAATCTTTCTCATTATCCTTCAAAGTTTCTTCAGTGCCCGTGTAGTAGTAGTAGTAATAATAATATGCGGACTCTTTTTTTCTTCTTCTTCCACTTTTCATTTATAATTGTTTTGCAGAAAGATTTGTTATTGCCTTCGTTCATTCATCTCATTTGAAGGCTTAATTGGTAGCAGGAGATAAATTATTCCTGATAAAGTTTTCTCTATAGAATTTTTCCATTTTTAACTTCAAGAGCGAGCTAATCGCTAAGTAAACAAAAGTCGTTTGTGGTTAGGGCTAGAGCCAGTAGTTAGAATTTTGCAGTTTTTCTAAAGACCGCATTACTTTGATTTGTTTTAATTGAGTTGATGGGTTTGAGGTTTGTTAAAGTCTAGCAATTAATCCGTAAGAGGTATAGCAAAGGCTTCAGTTCAGCTTTAGTTTAGCGTTGCATTACATTTTAGAACAATCTTCTCATTTGCTGCTTTACGCAGAAGAATTTACATCTCGTTGATGTGCTTATGGCGTAATTTTTTTATTTCTCCAATCCAACCGCACATGTTAGACCATTAAGACGACCGCCCAATTCGTTGCACGAATGTTTGGTTAAACGGTGACTACAGCAAGCTATTGTTAGCGTCGATAGGGTGTTGCGTTGCATGTGCTTTACAAGCAAGCATTACCTAGGTGTTACCTAGGGATGTCACATCGAGGAATGTTACGCCGGGTATTGTTACGTAAAGGAGTGTTACGTTGGACAATGTTACGTCAAAAAAGTATCACTTCAAGGAATTGCTACGCATCCTTTACTTGAGTCAATTAAACCCCAAAGATGGGAGCAATCTCGTGGAATAAATATTTGCAGCAGCATTTTGATCTAGCGATTTGCATGTCGAGTGACATCGTTTTTAATTTGATCACTAGGCCCATTAAGTTTAAAAGATTAAATATGTTAATATAAAATATTTTTTAGTTAAACGACTTTTGAGGCGCATTTTGTGATTTCTTGATTAATCGAAAAGTTACGGCATGGTACACGGATTAAGGGCTAAGTTGAACGGCCGTATGGTCGGACGTTTGTTTGGTCGCAGGGCCGGCCTTTTACGACGCATTTTATGTTACATCTTTATTGAACGGGGAAAGAAGTTACGCGGAAAGATTGTCAGTTCGAAAGACTTTGTGGCTTAGTGGCTATGAGTGGTTAAGACGAGCGAATCTATTTCTTAATGTTTCCAATTAAGCCACAAAAACAAGGTAGGACAGAGCGACTGCTAGGTCGAGCGAGGATTTGGTCGAACGAATGAATGTAAGGCATGAGCGTGTCGCATGACTTCCTTGTCGAATGACAATTACGTTCGACGTCTGTTATTTTGAATCAGTGTTATGTAGAATAGCCTAACATGTCTTACTGTACAGCAAAAGAAGAAAGTCAACTTTGAGTATCAGCGATTCTAATGAAGAAGTCTTTAGATAAGATAGCTGCGTCCCTCCCTCGAGCTCAGTACGAAACATTTTTCAAATGGAAAAAGGCTTTGTTGTTCGTGTGTGCTTCAATTAAGTGATCAAATAGAACCATTTCTCCAAGGTAACCTCTTCATGGCGTTAACATATATAAACAAATATCGTTGATAATATTAGATCGGCCTATCTTTCCTGGAGGTTTGCATTCTATTGTACTTGAAATTAAAATTTTCTTCTTTCTTCAAACTCAACTTAATTATCGTTTTTAATATTTTTCCAATTTGACCTGTGATCCTAAATCAATGTGTAACAAATAAGATGAAGAGATTGTTGGGAGACACTGTCCTCGACTAAATGCTCTACACGAGTCCGTTTAATAAAACGGCGTTTCAAAGTAAAGCATTGTACGGGATGGGATCAAAGATTTGGTTCGATCCGAGACATTTCCTCGTTGGGTGAAAAGATGGCAGCGCACCAAATATTACTAAAATATCTGAAAAAGTGCGACGTAGATGTTGAACTCAAAAGAACAAGAAAAAAAAAAAACAGATACACAGATCACAGAAAGTGATTCTGAATCGATCAGTATAATAAAAGTTGGACGTATATTAAGGTTTTGCGGGTGTTGCATACTGTCGCACTGACTTGATATACCCTTGTGCAATAAGTGGTGCAGGGTCGCGGGATATTGGATTGCTACAATTTTTATACTCTACACCACTTGTGGTACAGGGTATGTTAAATTTGTGCGGACGTGTGTTACACCCAGAAGGGCTTAAGATAGACCCACCTTTTATTGCGCCGATCGATTCAGAATCAGTCTCCCTGTTCATCTGACGTCTGTCCATGTCATTTGGGTCCTAAGCTGCAGGTCTCCTTTTGAGATATTTTGATGAAATTTGGTACACTGATGTGCTGTGACCGAAGGACAAACGCCATTCAAAAGGTTTTGGATCGGTCCACTTTTTCGTCAATTCGCAATTGCAATTTTCAAAATTTTTCGACAAAACTCTCTGAGTGGTAGGGTGCCCACCAGGGGCAATGTTTCGAGTCCCCTCTCATAATACGAAATCTGAATCTTTATATCGTAAAAAGCTATAACTTTCAATATTTTATGGTGACATTTAGCTCACAATAGTAAATGGAAAAAGAAATCAACCTGACTGAATGTGGACCGCGTAGATCTGTTTTTTGGATACCGCAACATATAAGGATTCTTGGAAAATGTAAACCCTCATATGCCCAATAATCCTAAATGTTAAATTTTTCCATGATAGTAATTTGACCCGAAAATTAAATGGGTCATATGCGAACCACATGGTCTATCTTTGATTTTGTTATCTTAATTTTCCAATTTTATATTATTTTCTTAATTTATCAATTATTATTGCTTTCGATGTCTTTCTAGAAATTCGTTTTCCTTCTTCTTCTACTTTTTATTTTTATTTTCGCTGTTTTTGTGATTTACTAAATTATTACTATTTTGCTTACTTTGTTTATATCGGAAAAACTACTGCTTTTGACGGGCCCCCACTTTTTGGAAATAACCTTTGAATATCAACAGGTCAACAAAATATACGCAGGCCGTTGGTTTTTTGTAGCAGTAAAAGCTAATAGAAGCTCTTTTGTGTAGCCATAAAAACGGTGAATGAGCAAATTAATTATTGCAAGAGTTTTGTTATACAAAACACTTAACCAATTACTAGAAATTTCAGCTTTATGGGAGCAAGTTTATTTAAGCTTTCAGAAATTCAGGAGAAATTAGTTTGCACAGAAAAAGCTTTCTCGAAATAACTTTTAAGCTTTCCAAGTATAAAACTTTGCTTCGTAGGAGCAATATTTTGAAAGTTGAAAAATTTTATGCAGCAGCTTATAGCAGCTTGTCAATGTACGCGAAAGTTTCCTTTCCTATGAAAGTTCTCTTTGAAAGCATGGCATCGTTACAGTTATGAGCGATTACACGTTGTCCTTGCAAAAATCGCCGTCAAAACGCGATGTTAAAAAGCACTGTCAAAAGTTAAAGATGTCATGATGAGAATGCTGAACTTATACTGTATACTAACTGTCATACTAACATTTTCTAATAATTATTATTATGGGTATTGTTGTTATAAATAAATTCGTTTCGCCCAAAGAATTAATTTCTTAGACTAAAGCGAGATGAGCGCCAGTAGACTAAAATTAATTTGATGAAATTTAATTTTATTTTTATTGAAAACAAAAAAAATCCTTTTGTTTTTATAACCTTTTTTTTGTACAGTAATCCCGCTGTTGACGGAGAAGAATGGCCTAATTTCTCTAAAGAAGATCCAGTGTATTATGTTTTTAGTACGGATGAGAAAATTGAGAAACTGCAAAGAGGCCCATTAGCCAAACGCTGCTCATTTTGGAACGATTATCTGCCGAAAGTTCGAAGTTGGGCTGGTAAGTAAATTCATTTAACTTTGCCTTTCTCTAAATTTCCCGAAAATGCCTTAAAAATTATTTTTCAAAACTATTTATATAAAGTTTAAATAATTTTAAGCGTTTAGATAATTAATCTCGAAATGCACCTGAATTGTTATTGTTCGTTGATCTAGTAGCACGATTTGCATCTAATAACTTTATAAGCACTCTATTAAGCAAGTCCTCTAGGTACGTGCGTGTGTGGCTGTTGCTCTTTTTTTTTTTTTTGGTTTTTATAATGATTAGGCGGGTTCAATGGAATTTGTGCTGTGACAATAAATTTTCCACATATACGTGCAAATATGATAATGCAATCATAAAATTAATATAAATTTTAATGACTTCACATTTCAATATATGAGCGCAATAAAACTAAAATAGTAAAAAAAAAAAAAAAAAAAATCAAATTCTAAAGAAATTAATCGGTAAATATTTTTGAAAATTTCATTAGCAGCTATTCATTAAACGCTTAGGTGTCTTTTTTTTTTATTAATAAAATAAATTTGTTCCCTTGATTAGGTCGAAAAACAAACCTTTTTAAAGTTGATATTAAACGTAAACAAGTTTGTCCTACGTTATACGTAATGTTTACGATTATTCATTAAGATGTCGATACGTTAACTAATAATTCAAAGAAAGTTTCAAATTTAAAAAAAAAATTTTTTTTATCGAAAACAGCCGACTTTTTTCTCGTTAATAGCACTAAACTAACAAAGCAAAGAAAGAGGAATAGTTGGTAGTTATCTCTTATAACGTAATTTTATTGAAGCACCTTCAGGCAACGAAGCTTGTTTGTAACGAGAGAAAAAGAAGAAAGTAGAGTTGTGTAGGAATTGAATCTTGAATCTCGGGCATAGGAATATTATGCAATCAATAAGTTTAGCGAAAAAAGTGACTTTATACTAATCATGACAAAAAATCATTATTCGTTTTAGGGTGAATTTTTGGTAAGCATTTATGCAAGTTATGTGCTGCCGTCGTTAATAGACTAACGGGAACTATTTACACCCTACCTATACCACATTTGCGTGGATGAATGCATCTTGTAGATTGACTTGAGATTTTCTTTTTCACAAATCCTGTCTTACTCGCTGACTATCAATGTATTGTTTTTGTTAATGCTATTAGTTGGAATTATTGACATCTTCATCGGGATAACTGACATGATTTGGTCCAAAAACGAATTCTGTTGATAATAGATTGCATCAGAACATATCTACAATAACTCGCCCTATATTACGAAATTTTAGTGTTTCTCATCACAGATTCTAGGATGGCTGTGGCTACACCGGAAATGCTCTTTAATCGCTTAGTATGGTAAGCGGTAACCTATTGGGGTTTGAAAAAATCTGCATAAACTTAATAAACTCTTCTATTTTGTGTATTTTGAAATTATTTATCCGCTCTAGGAAGTTCAGATTAACAGTTCTTTCTTCTCGTGTACGATAACGAGGTCAACAGGTTTTGTATTTGATTTTGTGCTTTTGTATAAAATTTGGTTTTGATAAAAATGTTTCTGACAAAATTAATTGTTTTATAAAGGAAGGTTGTTGAGGGAGCGAGGAGGGGGGAAACCACAAAAAGTTGCCCACTCAGAACCCCGCTTTAAGTGTAAGCTTCTTTCTTGCACTAAAATGGTCCGTAGAAGAAGAAGGTTGCCTTTCGGATCATACTTGCTGTGCATATACATGTGGATAGACATAGTGATCCTTCCTTTAAAGACGACAAAATAAACTTTGATGCACAATTTCTGTTTGCCACAACAATTTAACGATAATTTCGCATACTTTCTGCAAATTTTTCGTTAGAGATCTCTCTTACTATATTGTTATAGATAGCTCTTTTGCCCAATTACTAGGTCTTTGCAAAAATTTTGATCGTTTTCTCACTTGAAAAAGGCATTTATTGTGGAAAATTTGTACAACATATATTAATCAAAATAGTTTCCATCACTTCCTACAACATTTTTTTGGGCAACATGGTGATATCATGTCGAAAGAACGTATGTATATTGGTTTGGCAGCAATCCACCCACCGACCCATTTTCGCACTTCTTCAAATTTGTGCGCTCGCGTGCTAGCCAAGCCATGCTGCACCGATCTGAACAAGTGGTAAGCAGGAGGCGCCATGTCTGGTGAGTACGCTGGGTATGGTAGAACTTGCCATTCCAGCTACAACAGTGTATCATGGCCAACTCTTGCAACAAGCATTTTCAGTCAATTTGTGTCGTCACTTTTAAACCGTTGAACGCAACACCGACAACTGGGATACGGAGGAGCAGTATCATCATAAGATTATGAACGTGTTTGATGGGTGTCGACAGCAGTTGTCTTCAAATAGGCAACAAAAGTAATGAATTTGGAAAACGAAGAATTGTAAGCGCTCCACGATTAGCGTTGGCGAACGTTGGACAAATCCGTAACATTAAGTGGAAAACTATTATTTTATATAGAGGAAGGTCAAAACCATCGAATTCAATTCGCTGATCCTAATTATTGCAGGCACCTAATGCATCAGGTTTGCAGCTTGATTTTTTCGAATTAATTATATTTCAGTCCTTTCCTTGTAATCTCAAAAATACAAAGTCCATCCCATAGAAGACGGTCTCCATCCATCTACCCGATTACCTAGATGACTAAAAATATGTATCTTTATATCTTATGGGTACTTCTTTGTGCATATCAATGCATTACGGACTTCTAGAAGATCTAGTTCACACAATGCGAAGGGGGACACCCCTCGCCCAGTGCCAAGTTTCTGAACACAGGTTTATTATTCATTGAAACTGGAACATAGTTCTTGTTCGGTTGGCCTGCAATAGTCATGAATATCGCCAAGAGAAAAAAGTTTGCAGAAAATTCCTTCAAACAGAACCTCGACGTCGTAATGGTCATTTCAGCAAGCGAATTGCAGGAGGGCATTGCAATTATATATACATTTGCATATATATGCATGATTTTGTCAAAAATGTGAAACATATCTTTTAAAGGATTCATGTTGAATGCTGAATAGTTATAAAGAGTTTAAAATTTGAAGATTTCTTTAAACTATTTGTGATGCCATCTTTACTTTGCCTTCAAGACGTTGTGAAAAATTAGAAAAATCTACCCTGAAGCCGTAAGAAAGTTAAGTTTTAGCTGAAATAATGAAGCAAACGAATGGCTTTCTGTTTATGCAGATCCGAGTCGGTTTGCTTTTGCTGGAATTCTGAGAGCGATTTTAGTTTAATGAAATGCATATATACACTTACCATTCTGTATAACAATTGAGACTTGTGCCAAATTGGGTCTCTATCATAAATAAGCGACAATCTGAAAAAAAAAGAAACAATTAATCATTTGAGATTTTTAGGAGAGTGTCATCTTTTTTCAATCAGACGTATACATAAAAAACTTCTACTAATCTCTAGCGGCGATACAAAGACCATCCCATAAAAAACACATATACGTGAACATCATAAAAAAAAAAAATAAAAAAAATCGAAAAAATATATTTATTATAGTTTTTTCAGAGAATTTCGAAGAAAAATTATCTTATTTTTCAAATATCATTTATTGGAATAACTTCCATCAGTCATTCTGCGCTGAAGGTGTTTTAAAGAAAAAAGTGATAATCCGTATATTGATCATGATCAATGTATTTTTTTTTTTTCTTTTTCTTACTTAATTAGCTTCAGTTTAGGTATTTAAAGAAAGGCAGAGGTAGATAAAAGAAAGAGAGATGATAACAATAACAATAAAATAATTTTACAAGTTTTGAAATTCGTAATAAATTCCAATACATGTGCAGAGTTTAACTTTTATGATAGACTATGAGACGCTTTGACAGTGCGATGTTGTTTTAATTTTAAATGTTTCTTATCTCTTTTTCATAAATAATTCAGATGCTTCGAAGCTAACTCGATAGATAAGTAATATGATATCTTAAAGGCTATACCTCCCGATGTGTACCTATTTTGTTATAGCCATTAAAAGAACAAAAAAAAAAAAAAAAAAACAAAAGCAAAAACAAAAAACAAAAGAAAAATAGATAAATAAAATAAAAATTAATGGAATCATGTTTTCGGCGCTTTTGCTGCCTACGACTTGGTCATGTTTATCATAAAATCGGCTTCAGTTTCTTGTATAAATCTTGTACTATATTCATCATTGTCATTAAAGATTAATAAGACAGACCGGCACACTTTGAACGCGTAACACGTTACATGTTTCTATGATGTTTTTAACCTAACGCCACTGGTTGGTTAATAGAAAATAATGTCGTCGCTAGCGTTTTGTTAAGCAAATAGAGAATTTTTTTCAATCAAATATAATGCCAGACCTCTGTGCTAATGATGAAATTAAAACGCAAAAACAACAAAAAAACCCGATGTTTTATTAGCAAAGACGTAACAAATTTTATTATCTTGCCGTGATAAACTTTAAATTCAAAAGAAAGATAGCTTTCTTTACTTGTTGAAAGAATTTGATAAATGAAATGAAGCGAATTGAGTTTTCTTGTAAAGAAGAAAGAAAACAAAAAAAAAAAAAAAAATTAATCTTTTAAACCCATCGCCGTTATCTTAGAAAAGAAAAAAAAAAAAAGGCGAAGAAGAAATTTTTCATACTCTCTACTATTGGATGGGTGCGGCTGATTTTTAATACTTTTTAGAATAAAAGTTCACTTTTATATTGTGCATCTGTGTATCGCTTATGAGTAATGAACAAAAAATACGAAAAGCAAAGATGCTCTCAAATTTTGTGCGAGAGTGGCCAGTTATCGTAATTTTCAAAATCTTTTGTAAATTTGTGGGCGATATCTCCATTTTTGCAAACGGGAGAACGTTCAATACGAACGCTACAGAGTTGGGCAGACGAGCAGACGGATATGCTTAGGTGCATTCCGAAGCAAGCATTTATATATTTTAGGGCTTTTGAAAGGTTTTGATATACTATATAAGAGAGGGTAGAAGTGGCAGCATCGCCCAGAAAACATACGTC